GAGCTATTGTAATGAAGAATGGCGTTATCAATGCACCGCGAGCATTTTCTATATCATATAACCCTGGATATTAATTGTGGTTTATTCCTGACAAGAAACGGGGTAATGACAGAATATTTCTTTCATGGTTTGGGTAATAAAATTGTAATAGTTTAGTGTAAAACAAGTATAGTTTTCTGTTTTTTTATGGTTAAATCTTTTAATATAATAAGCTGATTTTTGAACTGCATGAGTTGGCTTGAATCACGAAGAAAAATTAGGACGATTTAATTCGTTATGATTTCGCGAATATTTTTAGTATATTAAGAATATACAAGTACCTTGTTCTAACGTTGAACTATACAAAGAGTGCCTCAGATTATTTAAAAGAGAGATTGTGTATAAAAGAACTTATCGATTAAATGAGGAAAGACTGTTTAACTGGTATTACAAGGAAGACGAAGGGGATTATAAAAAGACTAACAATTAATAGAAGAGAGCTTTTTAGAGTAATCTTACCAAAGAGACAGAAAAGGCTTTAAAATAACTATAACAATAAACAAAGTAGGCTATTAAAGGTGTGTATCAATGAAGAAACAGGGCTATAGAAAAACTGCATTACAGAAGATTAATCGCATTTTATAAGAATGAATTATATAGAGGAATATGGGTTAAGGACAGACACTTTTACTTTGAATGAGTTTTAAACATTTAAGATGAATGTCACAAAAAGCAAAATGGTTTTAAAACGAACTCTGTTTTATTATATATATCTTTTTCAGCTAAAACAAAAATGTTATATAACTCTTTTATATATTTATATAGAAAAAAAATCACTTTTTATGGTTGGGGGGGGGCTGTTTACGCATGAGATCGGATCAAACGGACACTCACAATGGGATAAAGTGGAACTCATCTATCTCATAATAACGGCAATTTCAAAGAAGTTCTACATTTCAAAATCATCATTTAAATTCTCCCAGCAGGGATCAGGAAAGCCATGCGCAAATAACACATTTTCTAGGACAATTGCTGCGCAAAATAACGAGAATACTAGCGTGGGGCAATGGTGTACATTGCAGCCAGAGCCTATGGTGGAAATTACGTCATTAATGTGGGATGAGACGAACTTGTGGAGGGGGAGGCGTTTTAACCTAAGCTTCTCATAGTGAAGCAATCCCACGTCATAAGAATCATTGAATATTGAACCAATTCTTTTACGGCATATTTGTCTGTTTTATTTCCCCATAGTTTGAAATCAACAAAATGAAATTTCTTGAAATATCTACTTTGTAAACATAAAAGATTTAAAGTTTACATTAGATCAAAGTTGTTCGAAACAAAAAACTGAAGTCGCGCACTGATCATTCACATTCGCATCCGTCCTCCAAGGGGTTCGTGAACAATAATTACACATAATTCACTTTAAATGGCAGCACGTTATAATTTTTGATATACGGGGGTGACCGTTTTACCGTAGGGAACCGTCATGCTTCATTTTCCATTATAATAATGTAATGGGCCTAGCATAGCTTGGTGGTTAAGACGTTCGACTTACAATCTACTGGTCACGGGTTCGAATCCCTGTCACACCGAACATGCTCGCCCTTTCAGCCGTGGGGGTGTTCAAATGTGACGGTCAATTCCACTATTCGTTGGTAAAAGAGTAGCACAGGCGTTGGCGGTAGGTGGTGTTAATTAGCTGCCTTCCCTCTGGTCTATCACTGCTAAATTAGGTACAGCTAGCGCAGATAGCCCTCGAAATTCAAACCAAACTATAATCAAACTAATGCGATGACATGTCACTGTGGAAGCAAATCATAATGCCAGACGTGACATACATGGTACTTAGATATTTGATTCACGGTAATTCTCAAGCATTTGACAATTTATTGCTTTCACTTTTGGTTAAAAGAATATACAACAACTTTTCAGAGGATGAGTAACTGTATAGTGAGATTGTTAAACGATGTAGCCCAAATGACACAAAATGTCGAAGAAAGGACCTTTCAATGTACTTTCCCCGGTGTGATAGCGGTAAGTCTTCGGATTTACAACGCTCAAATCAGGGGTTCGATTCCTCTCGGTGGACACAGCAGGTGCCTCCAGTAGTATAGCGGCATGTCTGCGGATTTACAACGCTAGAAACTGGGTTTTGATACCAGTGGTGGGCAGAGTACAGATAGCCCATTGTGTAGCTTTGTGCTTAATTACAAACAAATCAATGTTCTCAATGGAAACGGAAAAACACACAATAAAATGTTTAGTAGAACAACAGGCTTGAAAACCATGCCCACAGTTCATTCTGAAACAACACTTATCTACAAAATGTAGTTTTGGCTATGAGAGACAACTCTATCCAAAATATTATTGTGATGAATTTGGGCATATTTCTTGGTACCGCTAACAAGATAATGAATAAAGGTGTAAAGTTGACAAAACTTATAAACAAAAAGATTTCAAGCTTCTCGATAATCTTGAAGAACAACGGCTATTTTCACGAGGAAGATCACTGAAAAAACTGGAATCACAACAAATCTCTTTGGACCACATACCTTTCCAGTTTCCGATGTAGCTCTATTGTAATTTCATTCCCCTTTTTTTGCTTAAAGTTGGTCCTGGAAGTGGAGGGCTGCGGAAACTTGTTAGATGTGTGATCTAAGATTGATCTTATTGTAATTTTCAGAATTTTGTTGCAATGGAAGTTGCAAGTTAGTAGATTATTACATATTAAAGGTCCTTAGATAAGGATAACCGAAAGCAGAGGAAGTAATTTCAAGAGCAGCACACAACCTTGGACATCCTTTTTATAAATTAGACAAATGATTGTAATAACATGAAATAAATGGGGTTATGAAGGAGTGTCATAAGAAAAGAGTGGGAGTAGGTGGAAATAATTTAATTAAGGTGGAACCTGGCAAAGCAAGAGCTGTGACAAGGGCAAATGGAGTACTAAATGAATTTTAACAAGGACGGAATGGAGCAATAAAATGATTGTAACAAAGACGGAATGGAACGATAAAGGGATTGTAACAGGGAGAGAAAGTATAATCAAATAATAACATTAAAGAAACGAGTTTTATATAAGGACTGCAATTAGGAAGGAACGAGAGGTATAGAAGAAATGCACAGAATAAGGAAAGAGGATGTAGAATTAGGGATTGTAATCGCATGAAAGAGGTTGTAATAAGAAAATAATGGGAGCTACAGAAGAAATGTAAGTATGGGAGGACCAGGCAAAAGAAGAACTATAATAAAGACGGAAGGAAGTAATAAAAGAATTATAACAAACAAAAAAAGACCATCAAAAGAGTTTAAATGAAAGAAATGGGCTATAGAAGGAGGACTGCAATATGGGGGAAAGAAGTAATAAAGTAGCGGTAACAAGGGGGAACAGGGCTACAAGGAAGAAATGAGAACTTAAATGGATTATAAAGAGAAAAACAAGGTTACAGGACTATCTAGTAATATCAAAACCATTAAAAATTCCAAACGCGTAGTGAAGAAGAACATATATAATACCTGTTTTCTGTCTGTTTGTTAGTGTTATCAAGTACCTACGAATGACAAAAGGTACCTGTTCTAAGAATTCACAGGTTAATTGTAATAGTGCTGCCATCTATTGTCGTTATGGAGACTTTTCTATTGATATTCGTGTTTTTTAAGCGTTTTATGATGAAAACTGTTATGACGATAAACGTATTTTTATGAGAATGGTGAAAATTTGAATAGGGGTTTCAGTTACACTGTTAAACCACAATAAAATAATTTAATAATTTGTCGTAATAAACTTTTATTTGTTATTTGTAAAGATATAAAAGAAAAAGAAAACAAAACTAGTCTAAGTAATTAGCTATCTAGAAAATGTTCAGTAAAAAATAAACCACCCAATCGAAGCTCAAGTGTTCCAAAAGTAAACTTACTGAGGATAAAACATTTGCACTTAGGGAAATGAGATGTTAACATAAAATTAAACACAATAAAAATATACAGTATTTATGGAAATATTGATTTTATTAATTAAAGAAAAAATAAATCGGAAAAATTCAACGCTTGATTTTTAAAAAAAAATTCATTGACAGCTTAGTTGTAACAACTAATAGTTTATATTCGGCCAACTCGGAAATATTATAAAACCTGTTGGACAATGCAATGATTTTAGATTTCTTTTCCGAATTTATTCAAGGCTTGAATATTTTCTACCTCACTGTGAATTTCATTTAAGGTTGTAATCGCATTTTATTTATGAAACATTAAATAGTTTTTAAACAGTATAAAAGAAATACTTAGCTCAAAGTAACGCCATTACAAGGATTTGATGTTTTACCATTTATTCTGAAGATGACATGTTCCAGTAACAACACTACTGAAGATATGTATTATCTTTTATTCTGAAGATGACATGTTCCATTAAAAACACTTATGATAATATGTATTATTCTTTATTCTGAAAACTATATGTTCGAGTAAAACCATTACTGAAAGTATGTATTGTTTTTTATTCTAAAGATGATATGTTGCAGTTAGTGTACTAATGAAAATATGTACTATTTTTTATTCTGAAGATGATATGGTCCAGTAAAACCACAACTGAAAATAAGTATTTTAGACTTAAAGATTTAGAAGCAGAAAGTGAAATAATAATTATTTTCAGTTGCAAAATTATGGCAAATATTTAAAGGAATATTACTTAATTGTTTCTAAACCACACACCACTGTATCCCACTCCCACGTGAACGTGGTAACAATGTATTTTAGTTTTAATGCAAAGCTACAAAAGGGGTTGTCTGCGCTCTGTTCGTTGTGGGGAATTGAACCCTGGATTTTAATGTTGTAAGGCCGTATAAAATGAATGCAGTTCAATAAAATCATAATTCTCACGGTAGTTGTTGAAGTGATAATCCACTGTTTAACCAAAGTAACTGTTAACATCGATATTTTCTAATTTGTAAAATGAGTTATATATTTTAACTTTGAGACTCAGGAACATATTTTGAATGTATTATTTTTCTGTTTTTCAGAAGACGGCGATGAAGTGACATTGATGTATGCTAAGTATGAGGTGAGTTTTCTGTCTGTTTATGTTAGATAAGGCTACAATAGGGCTCTTATGAAGTTTGTGAATGTATGCATTTTAAATATATCCTTTTTACGTACCATTGTAAACTGAATTTTCTATGATATTTTCGTTATTTGAATTATTAGGTGCTTAGGTTATTTCTACTGTAAAATTACTTAATAACTAAATCATGACGTAACCTATGCGAACACACATGCATTATCCTGCATTTATTATAATTAAAACTCATCTGCTATTTATTTGCTCAACTCATTGAATGATCTAAATCCTTCTGCAAAGCAGCAGCATCCTCTTTACAGCTAGCAACAACTCAAGACCTTAATATCATCTGCAAATTTAAGTAATTTATTGATAATTCCTTCATCTATGTCATTGATGTAAATCAAAAAGAGCATTTGTAACAACCCTCTGCTTTTATGCCATCCAACCACTCTACTATCCCATTAGCTAACTTATCTCCAGGAGCCTCATCTTTCTCTAACCTTCCCAATTTTTTCTTTAACAAGCTCAGAATTGATACAGTCATATTGTTCTACCCTGCTTCCATCTATCAACTTGTTAAGATGAGGAATACTTCTTAAATCTTCACTTGTGAAAACTGAAGAAAAAGCATAATTAAATAACTCAGCCATTCCACAGTCATCAGATACAAGCCTTCCTTTATCATCCCTCAATGGTCCTACCCCCATCTTAACATTTTGTTTACCCTTAATGTACTTAAAGATATCCTTACTGTTAATTTTTACATTTTCAGCCAAACTTTTCTAATACATCCTTTTTGATGTCCTAATTTTTTGTTCGATCAACTTTCTTCTAAATCTTCTGTCATACTAGTCAATTTAAATTTATGATGGTTTTTTGTAATTTCATCTCTTATACCCTTTATGAGTCAACCTGGTTTTTTACTTGCAGAAATAGGTTTATCTTGAATATTTAATTTATTTTATACTAAGAAATTTTCACATTTGATCAGTGTCTCCAAATAACTCAGCTGCCAAATTCACAACAGATACTTCTTGTCACACCCCTTCAAAATTTACTTTTTTGAAAGTTGTTACCAAAATATCATTATTCCTGATCTCCATATGCAGCAACCCATCAAACCTAACAGAGCAATAATCACTTGCACCCAGATGTTCCCCAATTTTTACCCTCTCAACAATTCCTATATTATAAGTTAACAATAAATCTAGATTATCATTGTTTCTAGTAGGTTTCTTGACAATTGTTGAAGAAAACCATCTTGACCAGTTTTCAAAAACCTTTCTCCCTCTTGGTTTGACTCTAGCGTTTCCCAATCTATATGCGTGAAAAAACATCACCAATAATTATGACTTCCTTAACAGCTGAAATCTTAATCTCACTGTAAAGATTCTCACTAATTTCATCAGTATCATCTGGTGGGATGTAACAAATTTCTACTTAAAGCCCTTTTTCCTTTATATCTACTAGAAATCCAAATGGATTAAATTTTGTTGCTATTATTTTTATATCTTCAACTTCAACAGGATGTAATTCACATTTTACATATAAAGCGACCCCTCCCCTCTCGTTAGTACTCTATCCCTATTACTAATTTCCTATGCTAAATTTTTCTCTACATATTATTCTTTGTTGCATTTAGCTTATCGTGGTCCTCATCACTGTCTATTCCTAGTTTAAATCTTCCCTTACAGCTGAGTTAATAGCCCTTGCAAACAAGTCAGACCTACCCCATTTAAATGTAAACCATCCATTGCAAAAAGCTCCCTTCTTCCACTGAACTGATCCCACAAGTTCAAACAGTCAATATGCTCATCCTTACATATTAACCTAAGCCTAGCATTTAGCCCTCATAAGTTCATCCCTAGAAATAATTCTCGACAATATCCCTGACACAATTAAGTTATGGCCATTTTTTTAAATGCCTTTATCAACCCCTTGTACTTATTAATTAGCTCCTCTGATCTACCTAATCCCACACTAGCATCATTGCTAGCCCCCTTTATTATATCTCTTGCTCTGTCAGTTATATCCTCCACCTGTACCCCTGGGTAGCATAATCTAATTCAGTTCTCCCTAGTTACCTATCCGCATGCTCTGTCAAGGAATCACCTATAACTATGACCTCCTTAAGTTTATCATCCATATCTTTCTCTGATCCTTTTGTTTTCTTTCCCTCCAATAGTTCCTGATCTGCACAAACAAGGGCTGAAATCTGTTGCTGAACAGAATAGGCTCATTACAATTAAGTCCAATACTTTTAGCTTTAGCCCTAGTAGTACTCTTTCTAACTTCTTGAAAGTCATTGTTAGCTGACGTATACCTTGCATGCAAAAGCCTAAGCTCTTCTTGAGATCCTGCTGCCATTTTTCACAGTTTACCCTTCTCATTATCTATTGCTGCTACTTTAATCAGGATAACCTCCAACTTCTCCTCCAACCTACAAACTCTATATACAAATTGCACATTAGTACTAACTTCCTTAAAAGTACATACCAGTCCCGAGTTCCCAAATAAAACTCACTCATTGCACCAACCACACCTGACAAACTGTGAACGCTTAACTACAACCCTAGTCTCGACCATTGTATTTGTAATAATCAATACTCAATCTAAATATCAGTGGCCCATTGCCAACACGGTTAAGCCCAATGTTTTAGAATCAAATATATTACAGTATTTTATCACTACTTTATGTTCACACTAAAGTAATTAACTTTATATTTAATTTTATAGAAGTGACAAATAACTAGTCTTTAATTTATTTGATGTTTACGTAATACTAATATTAATAGTAATAACATAATGTATTCCGCCTGATTTATAATCTACCTATAAATATAAGTTAGTATAAACTGAACTTAAATTAATGAATCTAGACTAAACTCAAGTAAACAAGATAATCCTTAAAACTCGAACAGACAATTAATTAGTCTTTAGATTATATTTGTTTAATATGAAGCGAACATAAAGATTTTTTTTGCATTTCTATATTTCTCTCAATTAACATCCTGAGGCCGAATATGCTTTCTAATTAGTTCTGGCCTTCTAAAACAATTTTGGTTTTTTGACAGTTCAATTTCAACCACATGTTTAACTCCACTGATTATTACTATTAGCAACACGTTTAACTCCACTGATTATTACTATTAGCAACACTTTTGAAGGGTTACTGATCAAGCTGATAGTCCTATATTACTCATCCTCTATACATTGAGTTACAAATTTCAGCCAGATATTCATCTCCTTTGAACAATTTGCTGGAATTTTGTCTAAGTTCTTGAATTTTTTAAAGAGTCTAATGACTTCCTGTGCCTCCATTTCCAGGATTGCTGGGCTGTTGTTAATTGGTTCTACTACTTATAGAGCTGGTTCCTTTTCCCTGGTATCGTTATACAATTGTCCCACATTTTCCATCTCTCTTTGACATCCTCGTTTTCAAAAAATACTCGGTGTCTTCACTTCTGATGGAAGACCGGGTAGGTTACATATTCAACTCTTTTATTCTTCTGAGCATGTCATGCAGGTTATGTTTCACCTTACGTTTCTCAGTTTCTGCAAAATTGATTGCTTGTCTACACATACGCCTTATTTCTTTATATACTTCCTTATACTTTTGTTCTTTCTCCTCACAGTTATTTTCTTTTGTCCATCTTTTTTCAGAATCTCGCCATTCGTTCAGACCTTGTTTTTTAACCTTTATTCTTCTCTTCCCCACAATCTCCTTTTCTGCTCCCTGTAGCACCTCTCTGAACTTAATCCACTGGTGTTCGATGCTCTTTTATGCAACTTCTTCTTTTATTAATGTTTGAAATCAAGTTTTAGTCTCTTTCAGAAAGTTCTTGGTTATGTTGTTTCTCTTGAAGTTGTTGTATATTCTATTTTGTCTTGCGTGAGACCTCTGTTCAGCTTCTTCACTGGATTGTGATCAAACCCACTTTCTGGTCCGGGATGAGTTCTAATTATTGTAATAGAATTTCTGAGACGTTCTATAACTAGGATGTAGTCTATATAATTTCATACTATTCTTTCACCATTCCAAGTATGCTAGTATAATGCTTAAACCAAGTGTCACTTTCCACTACGACATTATCTTTATAAAACTGCAATAATCTATCTACTCTTTCGTCCCTTTTCTTCAAAGCCATCCAGTCCAATGAGAACACCGTTCCTACCTTTGAATTAAAGTAACCCATTACTATCAGACATTCTTTTGACTTGCATAGTTTGATACACATCTTGATAAATGCTTCCGATTTCCTTTTCTTCACCGTTAGATGAAGAAACTTGGATGATGGCTGAGTCAAAGACCTGACTAACATTACCAGGGCAGAAGCCTTTCACACATATGCTTAATTGCTCTTTCATTAGCAGAGTTATGTGATGTTCCTCTTCTCCTGAATATGTACATGTACAGCCTTCCCTCATAAGAGTCCCAGGGCCAGTTAACCTAATCTCACTTAACCCAAGGATATCACACTTTAGTCTTTTTACGTCCTGGTGTACGTTCACCAAACTTCCAGTTCTATATATGGGCCTCACGTTCCTAGCTTCGTCTTCATGTTGACATAAGGTTCTCAGTTGCTGCTTTCATGGGTCACACCATCAGAACTGGGGGCTCTAACAAGAGTAGGGTTTGTCTGTAGCGCATCATTACAGAATCTACTACTCACAGGAACATCAGAACCCTTACTGATAGTACACCTCATAATAGACTGCCCAAGGTACTCACAATCTACCGTAAATTCTCTTTACTATTTTATTCGATCTTTCCATAGTTAATTAGGACTAAATATTGCGATAGGACCACTAGGCCACGGGTCAGTGGGTGCCAGAAAGCTGTTATTGGAATAGTTTTAGGTGACCAGAGCAATTCTCAAAAATCCTCTGACGAAACTCTGGCATTAGAAACCCACAAATAGTTTAAAGAGCAATCAAATAATACTATTAATTTTAAGAAAAGCCAATAAAATAGTTATAAAACAATTTTGAGACTAATT